ATTTACACAAAATAACCATTTCTCTCAAATATTGTTCACAAATCTGAAAAAATCTGTGATAGTGAGGCCACTCTGAAACGTGCATTTTTGCTTTATTGGGGGGGTCTGGAGGGGTCCGAAAATCAGTCAGTATCTGGTGTGAGGGTTAGGATTAGGGTTAGGGTTAGGGTAATGTTGTGAATCGAGTGGCCTGTGTTCGTTGTCCATAACATACGCCCGCCATACCATAACCCCACCACCACCACCTAATCCTAAACCTCATACCAGATACTGACTGGTTTTCGGACCCCCCCAGACCCCACCAATAAAGCAAAAATGCAAGTTTCAGAGTGGCCTTTTATTGTGGCCAGCCTAAGGCACACCTGTGCAATAATCATGCTGTCTAATCAGCATCTTGATATGCCACACCTGTGAGGTAGGATGGATTATCTCGGCAAAGGAGAAGTGCTCAGTGTCACAGATTTTTTCAGATTTGTGAACAATATTTGAGACAAATGGTTATTTTGTGTATGTAGAAAATGTTTTAGATCTTTGAGTTCATCTCATGAAAAATGGGAGCAAAAACAAAAGTGTTGCGTTTATATTTTTGTTCAGTGTATAAATGATGAAAGAGCTGATACTTCATTTTGTAAGGATATTCTACAAGCATTCTTTTATATTGGAAGTACACATTATAAAGGTTACACTATTGGTTAGCTGAGGAACAGCATTTCTGTGTTAATTATTAACCAGTTGAGCCCCGAGCCTGTTTTTCAGGCCTCAGGCTCGAAAAGGACATTCCCAGAACAAATGACTATATCTTCACTTCTAAAAGGGTTACATTAATAATCTTTTTTCTCAAAGCAATGATACACATGTGAGTTGGATGTAGAAGAGTCAGAATCAATATAGATCAATCAATCAGATTGAACATAGTAAAAAAATGTAAATGATAGTGTCCGTCCAAAAATAAAACATTACTTATAGTGAAAACCACCCTTGAATGATGGGATAGTAGATGAAAAGCTTTAGGAATCCAAACTATAACATATAATAAGTACCCTGTTTCAAGATTGATGCAAAACAAGTGACATTTGACCTTTTTAGAGAGATTTAGAAAAAAAACCCCACTTCTGGGGTCATTTGGGTGCATTTTCCACATCTGGCCCCCTCGGTCGATTTTGATGATTGACATCTCTTTTTAACCGTTAGAGCCAATAGAATCGAGGAGAAGTTCTTAAAATCCATCTAAACATTACCTATTGGTAAATAGAGTGATGCGCAGCCAGAATACCCAGAACCAGAAGCTGTCATACACTCAGGTAGCAGTTAATATGAAATCTCCGTTATTGACATAAATATGAAGATGGATTATCAGTAATCATTTCAAAGTGAAACAGACACATTGGAATAACCTTCAGCAGCGTTTTTATTGTTGTAATGCCATTGAACACAACTTTTGATCAGAAACAGCAAAAGGTAAGACAGTGTCCCGTGTTTGCTACCTAAAGCTACGTTGTGTGATGTCTGGATTTGTTTCCCATGCCACGAGTTCTGGTCACTCAGTGATGATACTTTTATTTCTGGAATCTGTGGAATCTCAACTTGCTAATCGATATCTTGTTTGTGCAGATCCAATAAATAATAGGGGTATTTTACCGTGAGTTCTGTGCTAAGTGCTATAGCATTTTTTCGCTCATGGCTAATTCAGAGCCTTTGTTATTTCCCTTGTGTTTTGTTTAGCTAAAAATGGTTAATATCGTCTGATAGCTGAGTTTAAGTGAATAAGACACATTCATAGTTTATTAAATGTTAAGAAACCCTCAGACGCTGTTTCTTGCAAGATGTTGCGTTTGGCCCCCGGTACCGGTTCCTTACAGTATTAAAAGCATTAAATAATTTAATCCTGACTCTCCTCTGTGGTTCTGTATTGCCTAGCTATGTCTCGACAGGTGGTCCAGGTCCAGCCGGAGAGCAGGGGTCAGCAGGAAGGTCAATGGAGTACTGGCCTGTGTGAGTGCCATAAAGACGTGGGAGACTGTAAGTGTCCCAACATAAGTAAATACCCTGATACAGAATATAATGAGATGTCTGACTCCATCTATACTTAAAAACAACCTCCGGAAATAATGAAGTCTATAATAAAGTGTCATGTTTTTGTGAACTGTGAGCTGTTCTGATATCTGTATACAGGCTGCTTTGCCCTGTGCTGCCTCCCAGTGTTCACCTGTAAGGTGACCAGAGCAGTGGGGGCCTGTGCCTGCCTGCCTCTGCTCGACTGTATCGGCTGCGTCCCCCCCGCCTCTCTCGCCATGAGGGCATCTGTCAGGCAACGATACGGCATACAGGTAATACTGCATAGATTTCACTCTGAAATAAATCATTTAGTATTTTACAAATCGTAGCTCTTCGATATATTTTCCCGCGATTGTCTTTGGTTCACTTAAGTATCCTCCCATTGACTTCCATTGTTTTCACATTGCCTTTACAACATGGTAACTCCAATGGGAATCTTTCAATGGGAATTTTAACACAACACAAAGACTGACATTTTGACCCTATATCATTTCAACAATGTAGTAATTACAGCTAACTAACATCTGATAGCTACCTTGAAAGCTCATTATAGCTTTGGTTTTTCGTGTTGATAGAAGAAGAATTTACTGAAATACAGCTAGTGCATTCTTGTTGGTGTTGTCGGGAAAACAATCTTAACTAACTTTAAGCATATTGCAATTCAATTAGTTCTCGCGGAAAGGCAATTGAAAAGGCAATCTAGCTACAGCCAGGCTAATCTATTAGCAATATTGCCTTAAATCTCTGGAACTCTTCACTGAGATGCACATTTGTCTGTATTTGTTAAATAACCAATGGGAAACCTCTCTCCATCTGAAAGGACCTGTGATTGGCTTAATTCTCACGCCACAAGCTTCTAAAATCGGAAAACAGAGCCGACAGGTCGTGCGGATATCTTGTTTTCTCTCAGACTATACAAATATACTAAAAAGCTGTTATGGAATATTCTCCCATTGATGCAAAGATAAACCACCTCAGCTTTAAATGATTTCAGTAAAGACTAATGGTCCTGGGATGTTGTGATAAACTTGCTTGAACAATGCAGCTGATGCGTACCTCACTATATCCCTAGCTCAGTTACACCTGAGCTGCTGGAGCTCAGAATAATTATGCTTGCTGCTGAGAAGATGGAGATTTTTTAAGTTATAAAACACAATAACAGCACTCCGGGGAAATATCTGCAACATCACTTAATGACAAGGGTTATTACTTTAGCAAACCAAACAATGCTTTGAGCAATGTTGTGACATCGAGATATGATACAGTGAAATCAGGACACGTGTATTAAATCAATGCACTCGAGTTATAAATAACACTAATGAATAAACAACAAACTGTTATTGCCTTTAAGATAGAGCAGGCTGCACACACTGCCCACACGGTTTCACGGCTTAACACTCCATAAAACTGCGTGCATGACCTCAGATCTCAACAGACATCAGTGCACATTCAAAACAGATGTTGGGTATGCAACATGCCGGGGCCAAGTTGGGACTCTGTTTCTAGATAAGCGGGCAGGTAGTTTCTGGGACAGTGAAGAGAAGGAGAGATAAGCCAGGAAGGTGGGAGTGGTTGGAGGCCAAGCAGGCAGAAGCTGGAGCAATGCCATCGGAGAGAAGGAGTGCGGTTGGAAATGTTGGCTTTTCTGGAGGTGGAGTGGGCCGTGGATCGCTGTCGATATTGCAGAGCGAGGAAGGTGCCAGAAGATCTTATGCAAACAAGTCCCAGCATGTAGGCAACAACGCTCTCATGGGTGAAAGGACACAATGCTGTAACAGTGAGCATCATGGGAATACAACGGTGGATTGTTTCCATTTGAATTAGCAGTTATGGATCATCTATCTTCTCCATCTTTTTAAGTCTTTATTTCTTGATCTTGATGATGGTATTTTTGGCTATGTATGTCTGCAGGGGGGGGCAGTGTTGGTTGGTCGGTCTACCACTTTGGTACAGACTGAAATATCTCAAGATGAGTTACCGCACAATCACGTGTATATTCCCCAAAGGACTTCTCCTTGTGCAGTTTCACATGTGTATGCTAGAGTTAAGTGAAAAGTGGTTGATTTTATGGGATATTTGGTACAAAACTAAATCACTGTCACTGTGTTGGTTGTGTCAGACTGTCAGATGTGTTGGGGGGGGGGGGGGGGGGNATCATTGGTAATCGACAATCGGTCTTGATATATGGTTAAATTAAAATCAGTCGGCGAGGCTGTAATTTCTCCAGCTGTTACTCTCATGAGTGAGGCGGAACATAATAGTTTTATCATGCCAAAAAGCTGCTGTGTCGTTTATTGCACCTCAAACATTAAAACAAATCCAGAGTTACGTGTTTCTGTACTTCCTCTAAGAAGAAAGGACAGTAACAGAAGATCAGGTTTTGGTACTTAGCAGATTCATCTCTTTTTGTGTATGAGAACATCCAACCAAGGAAATGTAGTTGTCAACAGGTATACAAACACATTTAACAATAAAAAATAAAAAAAACCTTGAATACAACAACCTACAGTAGACAGATGACAAGGACAAACAGTACTAATCTAAGCCAATTCAAAATGTAAAATAATGCAGAAAATACTACATGCATAAAGTGCTTGGGTGCCGAAAACAAATCTGCAAATTGAGGCTAGTAACCTCCCTTCAACAAAAGAGACTTGGTATCTTTTGTAGGATCTAAAACTCCCTCTGCAGGGGTTGATCAGGACAGACCAATAACAATGGGGCATCCCTTAAGGACCATAGCCTTGTGCTATATTTAGGCACTCTGACGCAGGAAAATATACAACACCCTGGCAGTTATGTTATTATAACATATATTAGCATTAATCAACAAAAAAGGAAATAGTACAGAGAGGAATATAGCCTTCTCTAAAACACTAGCAGGACATTGCTGAAGATAGGATATGAACACAAACACGTATTCTTAAAATCAGAAAATCAGCCTTTATTCTGAAAAAGTTTGAAAAGTGGATTTTTATATAAAACCCAACACAAAGATAATACTAGAATTAGAAGGGATAACGTGTACCAAATTTGATATACTTCACTGACACACACACATTTGATTTTTCTGTATTAACAACATGAAAAGCAATACAATTATAAACAAATATAATATATATATATTTCTTGTATTACTCTCTTATCTTATGATAAACCATTGGCTACAAGTGGAAGGTTATCTTATCTTATCACAAAAGACTGGAAAGGGGGAAATACTTTTCAAACTGAGTCAAGAAATACAAATAAAATATAAATATTGCTCATAAATATGTATTAATATGAAATAAAATATGCAATCCTCACAATATTTCAGTTTTTAAAATAAAAGAGACATATTGACCAAGGAATGTGCAAAAGTATGAGGTTCAGGGAATATGGGAAATGTACAGAGCAAAGCTTACTCACAAAAAATGAAACCATATTTAAAGTGAAGTCATTATCACGTTATATGTTGTTTAATCCGTGCAGAAAACACATTGTAATAATAGCATGTTGTTGTTTTACAGGGGTTTAATGTCCGTGGCTATTTTTTGGTCAGGTGCGGCACCTTCTTGGGGTCTCTGCTGGTTGCCTGGCAACCTCCTCCAACCTCAAAAACTCCTATATCCTCCCTTTTCCTAGCATATTTTGTGTTTGTACTCCATAGCATCATTTTAACTACTTCATAGCCACGAGCCCCATGTAATCGTTGAATCAATTGAATGTTAAGAAGTGAGGGGATAATTTCCAGTAAAATAGACCATGCCTTTATTTTTATAAAAAGATAGAGAAGAAAATGTATTTGTTATCATCTTATATCATCTGTCATGTAATCTGTTTTTATCCATGTGTCATTTCAATGGCTGATAGATGTTAATATGAATCTCTGTATGTTCTCTTCTCATATAGAAGCGTCTTGTGGATTCTCAGCAACAGCAAGACTGCTTTCCATTTTTAGACACATACAGGTCTGTGTGTCGCAGCTGAGGCTCATACAGTGTGTGTGTGTGTGTGTGTGTGTGTGTGTGTGTGTGTGTGTGTGTGTGTGTGTGTGTGTGTGTGTGTGTGTGTGTAACACTGACACATGCTCACTCTCTCTCCGCCTCCGTACTTCAGAACAGAAATGGCAGAGCTCAGCGACAGGCATCCAGATGCCCATCATCATCATCATCACAGCAGCAGCAGCAGCAGCAGCAGCAGCAGCAGCAGCAGTAAGACACATCACGAACATCTGCAGCACCACAGTATCACCACTGTCCCTCACAGTGGCAGGTCTGCTCTGCACGTCTTAGATAAGATAATTCATGAGCAACACAAACATATTTGGCAGGCAAGTTGGTTGCCATAACGACCAAACAGTCAAAGCAGGGTCACTGAGTGAATCAGAGGAAATTAAGCCTACATGCAGTAGCCTACATGTGTTGCTGCAGAGCATTGGAGCGGCTGTAAAAATGGCTCTGACTGTCCTCTGCTGCAGTGTCCTCTCAGGAGGCCCTGTAGCAGGACTCGGACCGCTGTCCAATCAGAGTGTGCGCTGTGTCACTGAGGTGGGCAGGATGTCCCCTGTGATGTGATACTAACAGACAGATATGAACCTTTCTGCATTAGATGTCACCAAGTACAAACACAGCAAGGTGAACAGGAGAGTTTAAACTCCCTATTTGTGAAAAGAGTACTCCCAATTGACCATTTCCTAAGCCCCGCCCTCCTTTGTTATTGTTGCTATGACTGTAACACACAGTGAGAGAGAGACACTATCTTACCCAAGTGGACAGATCTCAACCAATGTAATTGGCTACATCATGGTCTTTAATGTTTTTATTACAAATATTTTCTTTCTTTGTGCTTTAGCGATGAGGATTAAGATTATATAGTTATTACACTAGTAATAAGTAAGTACACTAGTTATTAAAGTTATATTAGAAGGCCGAACAAGACGAGCAATTTAACTTCATGGTGCAACCTTTACGATAAATTGATGGTATTTACACTTCTTCGGTGTTGAGAAAACCGATTAAAGAGGACATATTATGCAAATTTCCAGGTTCATATTTGTATTTTGTTCCTCTGCTGTGACATTTTCCCATGCATTAATGTTCAAAAACGTCTTCATTTTTCTCATACTGCCTGTGCTGCAGCACCTCTTGTCACCCTCTGTCTGAAACCAGAGCCTAGTATGCCCTGATTGGTTAGCTGGTCGGCTCTGTTGTGATTGGTCAACCGCTCAGAGATTTTTTCAGGAATGTCCTGCACCTTAGCCTGTCGTGTACAATGTGTTAAAGTGCTAGCCAATAGGGTTTTCGAGTGTTACATATAGTGAAGTAGTTATGTTACGGAAGCACTGTTCTGCAATATGTGCTACAGTGCCAGATTCTCACTTCCTTCACTCACTTGTTTGTAACCTTTATTTAACCAGGTGAAAAAACCCATTGAGATCAACGATCTCTTTTTCAAGGGAGACCTGCAGCACATTGGTTACACATAAAAACAACAGAAAACAAAAGGACATCAATACAACATAATTACAGGGGTATACATTAGCAACCTATAATATTCACAATGACATCTAATAACATTTCATCTATCCAAGCTTTAAAATGATGCAAGGGAACCAAAATGCTCAGTTTCAAAAATGTTTGCATAGTGTTCCAAGCTAGAGGAGCAGCACACATAAAAGCTTTAGAACCTAAAACAGTCCTAGCACTTGGCACATGTAATAAAAACACATCCTGGGATCTCAGGCAATAGCTACTTGCCAATCTATGTGAGATCAAAGAGCAGATATAAGGTGG